AAAGAAATGAGCAACTAGGCCAGGAAAAGATTTGACGGAATCTTAAGCCGGGCGCGGTGGCTCAAGCCTGTAATCCCAGCACTTTGGGAGGCTGAGGCGGGTGGATCACGAGGTCAAGAGATAGAGACCATCCTGGTCAACATGGTGAAACCCTGTCTCTACTAAAACTACAAAAAATTAGCTGAGCATGGTGGCGCGTGCCTGTAATCCCAGCTACTCAGGAGGCTGAGGCAGGAGAATTGCCTGAACCCAGGAGGCGGAGGGTGCGGTGAGCCGAGATTGTGCCATTGAACTCTAGCCTGGGTAACATGAGTGAAACTCCGTCTCAAAAAAAAAAAAAAAAAAAAAAAAGATTTGACGGAATCTTAAATGCATATTATTAGTGAAAGAAACCAATCTGAAAAAGCTATTTACCATCTCAGCCCGTTGTGTGCTGCTTCAACAGAATGCCACAGACTGGGTGATTTACAATGAACACAAATGTATTGGCTCACAGTTCTGGAGGCCGAGAAGTCTAACATCAAGGTGCTGGTGTCTTTCAAGGGTCTTCTTGCTGCATCATCCCATGGGAGAGGAAAAAGAGAGGGTGAGAGAGAGCAAGAGATTGAACTTGCAGCCGTTTTATGGTCAGCATTAATTCATTAACAAGGGTGCAGCCCCCATGACCTAAACACTTCCCATTAGACCCCATCAACATTGTCGCATTGGGGATTAAGTTTCCAACACCTGTGTTTTGGGGAACACATTCAAACCATAGCAGCTCCATACTGTAAGATTCCAACGACGTGACATCCTGGAAAAGAGAAAACTGTGAAGATAGTTAAAAGATCAGTGGTTGCCAGGAGTTAAGGGGGAGAGAGGGATAAACAGATGGTACACAGGGGACTTTTTTCTTTTTTTTTGAGACGGAGTTTCGCTCTTGTTACCCAGGCTGGAGTGCAATGGCGCGATCTCAGCTCACCGCAACCTCCGCCTCCTGGGTTCAGGCAATTCTCCTGCCTCAGCCTCCTGAGTAGCTGGGATTACAGGCATGCACCACCATGCCCAGCTAATATTTTGTAGTTTTAGTAGAGACGGGGTTTCACCATGTTGACCAGGATGGTCTCGATCTTTTGACCTCGTGATCCACCCGCCTCGGCCTCCCAAAGTGCTGGGATTACAGGCTTGAGCCACCGTGCCCGGCCTTTTTTCTTTTTTTGAGACATAGTCTCACTCTGTCATCAAGGCTGGAGTACAGTGGCATGATCTCAGCTCACTATAACCTCCACCTTCTGGATTCAAGCAATTCTCCTGCCTCAGCCTCCTGAGTAGCTGGGATTACAGGCGCCCACCACCACGCCCTGCTAGTTTTTGTATTTTTAGTAGAGACAGAGTTTTGCCATATTGGCCAGGCTGGTCTTGAACTCTTGACCTTAGGTGATCCACCTGCCTTGGCTTCCCAAAGTGCTGGGATTACAGGCGTGAGCCGCTGTGCCTGGCCCGCACAGGGAACTTTTAAGGCAGTAGGAATACTCTATATGGTGGATCGATGACATTACACTGTAGGGACAGCAAAGCTCTACCCCCATCCTCTTAGGGTCCTGGCTGGGCCTGAGAAATAAATTGACATAAAACAGATTAACAGGAGAAAAGTGTGTGTGTGTGTGTGTGTGTGTGTGTGTGTGTGTGTGTGTAATTTATTTATTTATTTATTTTAGACAGTTTCACTCTTTTTGCCCAGGCTGGAGTGCAATGGTGCAACTGAAACTTCTGCCTCCCAGATTCAAGTGATTCTCCTACCTCAGCTGCCTGAGTAGCTGGGATTACAGGGATGTGCCACCATGCCCAGCTAATTATTTTGTATTTTTAGTAGAGATGGGGTTTCTCCGTGTTGGTCAGGCTGCTCTCAAACACCCGACCTCAGGTGATCCGCCCACCTCAGCCTCTCAATTTCAGAGGAGAAGTTTGCTTGCTGTTTTCTTCTTTTTTACTTTAAGGTTAAATTACTGTTATTTTTTTCTTGATATTTAGGTATAAGCATAAATATAATGCTTGGTAAAACTCATACTCTTAGTTGAAGATAAAAGAAAAAAGGCTGAATATCAGTTATCTAAGAAAAAGAAGGCTAAACGTCAGATAATCTGATCAGTTAAGAGTATGAATTTTGGCTGGGTGCAGTGGCTCATGCCTGTAATCCCACCACTTTGAGAGTCTGGGATTACAGGAGTGAGCCACTGCACCTGCCCTGCAAATTTATTTCTACAAGTTTTATGTGGTAGAGGAGCCCTTATGAGGAGATGAAGACCCAAAGAAAAAGTTAGAGTCAAACACTTATTTACTGAATTGGACAAAGAGCAGTAAATTGTGAAAAATCAACTACATTATGTGGGGAGGCTTTAAAAATGTGTTATTTTTAACAAAGTCTATGCAACATTCTCTCTCTCATCCTGTGTTCCAATGTGTGACATAGGTTCATTGGTTGTGACAAATGTACCACTGCAATGGGGAGGTTGATAGTGGAGGAGGCTGTGTGTGGTGAGAGTGTGTGAGTGTGTGTGTATGTGTGTGAGTGTGTGTGTGTCTGTATGTGTGTGTGAGTGTGTGTGTGTGTGAGTGTGTGTGTGTATATATGTGTGTGTGTTGGGGGTGTGTGTGTGTGTGTATGCAGCGGCAGGGGGCATACAGGAACTCACTGTACTTTTTGCCGAGTTCAGCCTGAACCTAATGTTGCTCTAAAAAATGAAACCTTTTTTTAAGGCTTACTTTTCCCTGCTGGAAATAAGGGAAGAGGCGTCCCTTCCCCCCTTTTCTTGCAGAATTTCTTTCGCTGTCCTTTTCAAATGCATGTAAATCTTTTTAATGGCAAGACAAGCCTCTTGCCAATCTAACCACTCAGGAATGTTTCCTCTGGGAGGCAGGGCCATCTCTTTGAGACTTGACATCAAGAGGTAGGTGTCCCCGCTCCCGTTTCCTGAGAAGCCTGACTTCAGCTGTCACCTGACTCCAAATTGCAAAACCCACCTCCAGCCATAAAGATACGAGAAGATTAGCAATTTTATCCTGAAAACACGAATGCAGTGGGTTGTGTCTGCCTGGCCACATAAGAGTGAGCTCTCGCTCCATCTTTGTGATCTCTGAGGGGAGAGAGGGTGATGCGGATCACATTCCAGTTTAAAGTTTATTCAACAGTAAAACTGTTTTCTTTTTCTTCTACCTTCGTGAAGAAGTTTTCTGGGTTGGCAGGAGATTTTGTTTTTGATTTTGTGTCCCCACCAGGGCCCACGTCCAGAGACAAACACTGGAATGTGTGGCTTGGCGAGTGGGGGTGCCAGTGGAGGCAGCCTGCTGGGGGGCGTCCCTGGGGAAGACTGTCCTCGGGTTCAAGGGGGACATGCAGGTCCTGGTTCGTGCCCTATCTGCTTTTGAAAACCTCCCAAAGCAGAGGCAAGGTCACCCCTCTGCCCCAAGGTCACATAACCTCCTCTTCCTGGGCCTCAGCATCTCATCTGTGAAATGCTCATAAAAATATACTCTACTGTTTGAGGGAAGAGCAGCAAACTGCTCCCTGAAGCTCCTCCCTCCCCTCCTGCAGAACCCCTTGCGGAGCCCCTGCCCCTCTCTCCTTTGATCTCAGGCCTGTCCCCCACCACCCCAGCCCTCTGAGCCAGGGGCCGTGTTCACAGCTCACCTCCGCAGCCGCCTGGGGGCTGCACACCCTGTGGCCCCAGTTCACTCTGCTCACTCCACAACCCCTGAGCCTCTGCCTTCTGCCAGGTGCTTCGTTCCGGGCCCTGGGGAGCTCTCCCTCCTCGGCGGGGCTGCTTTGTGCTGTGAACAGTTCCTGGGCGTCCAGGGTGGTCTGGCTGGTGCAGCGGAGAGGCAGGGGGCAGAGCACTGTGCCTCCAGCTCAGGGCAGCGCGAGTCACCTGGGCACCTAGGCAGGATCTTCAAGGAGAGAGGGACCCAGGGAGGGAGCATGCCAGGGATCAAGGCGGCAGGAAGAGAGTGGGAGGAGAGGGAGGCCTCGCATGGTGTCCTGGGGGGTGGGGGCAGCTGGGCTGGGTGAGCTGGAGCAGGATGTCTAAGGCGGGGAGCTGGGAGCTCAGAGCGGCCGGGAGAGGGGCGGTCAAGGGCTGTCTGTCTGTCTGTCTGTCCGGGGAAGCTTGGGCTGCAAACTCGTGGAGACAAGTTGGCACCAAGGCGAGCAGCCACGTGAGAAAGGGGAGTGGGCTGGGGAGCTCGGAGCAGGCCTTGGGAGGAAGGAGGGAGACAGGCCTGAGGGGTGAGGGGCAGCACAGGGGAAGAAAGGCCGGAGGTCTGGAGAGACACCCCCTTCTCCCCAACCACTCCAGGGCAGTGCAGGGGCACCTCGGGCTGAGCAGGAGGGCTCAGGGAGGAAGGAGGCCTGGGAGCTAAATGCAGACCCCAGGCAGGGTGGGCTGCAGTGCGGTGGCACAGGGTGGCCACGGCGGGTCCCAGCAGCCAGGTCACCCCTCAGATTTAGCATGCCCGGCCCGACAGGGCTAACGCGCAGGGGCCGGCCCAGCAAATCTTTTGTCCAGGGCGGCACTGAGCCAGCAGAACGCTGCCCGGTATAAACGGGGACCCGAGGGCAGGGCGGGGCGCACCGTGGCGCAGCGCTGGGGAAAGGTGAGTGTGTCCCTCAACCCCCAGGAAACTTGCGGGAGGGTGCACACCGTTGCTGGCTGACAAGCCCACGGGAAGCTGGTTTCATTTCTCATAAATGGGGCGGCCTCATTGTTGGCCTGGGGCCTCTCTGGTGTGGGTGGATAGGAAGGTCTCCAACTCCACTCCCTCCTTCTGGGGTCCCAACCCCTCGCCCCCCAGTCAGGAGCAGGGAGGGTGTTCAGACCCCCTGGGGGCTCCTCGGGGTGGAGAGGCTTGGCTTGTCACTCTGCCCTCAGCCCCACTGCAGCACGTCTTTGCCCAAGGCTGGCCTCTCTGTGGCTCTTATTCTCCAGGGTCTTTTCAGGGACACTTAGGGCTGGTTTCTCTGAAAAATGTGGAGATTTGAGGGACCCCCGAATCCCTTTGGTGCCCAGGCCTCCCTGAAGGTCTCAGGGGCCCTCTTCCAGCCCTGCGTGGTGCAGGAAGGATGGGAAACGTGGCTCTCCCTCTCCCTCCCCAGTGCCCCCAACCTGGCCACTCCCATGAAGCCTTCAGTCTCCAAGGCCACATTCCCTGTCCCCACACAGCTACTGAAATTAGTCTGCCCCACTGCGAGCTCCGGGGCTGGGGAGGAACGGGAGCTGTGTATGGCACCAGCCCACCAGCTATTCATTCTTTTGCCCAGTTGGCAAATCGTGTTGGGCACCTACTGTGTGCAGCAGGCCTGGGCTTTTGGGGGCCTGGGAGTAGGGGTTCCGTTGAGGGTGTTGGGACCCCAGCACCAGCCTCCATCCAACACTGAAGGAGAGAAGCCTCTAGCCCTGAGCTCTGTCACCTGCCCTTTCTAGATCACTCTATGAGGGCAAGCACTTCACGGGGCGGAAGCTGGAGGTCTTCGGGGACTGTGTCAAATCCAGGGCTGGGGCTTTATGAACCGAGTGAACTCCATCCGCGTGGAGAGCGGAGCCTGGTCTGCTTCGATCACCCTGACTTCCGGGGCCAGCAGTGTATCTTGGAGCACGGCGACTGCCCATACTTCTTCTACTGGAACAGCCACAGTGACCACACGGGCTGCTGTCGGCCTGTAGGAATGGTGAGTCCTCCTGCCGGAGGTACCGAGGGTCAGCCCTGAGCAGACAGCGGCAGGGAACCTCCCAGCTTTATGCGTGATCCTACCAGCTTTAAGGTCTGTAAGACAGAGAGCCGTCACCAGAGCCACCCTCTAGCATGAGGTGAGTAGGTGGGGTGGGGCAAGTTGCTAGGGACCAAGTGGGCGTGGCCCTGGGAGTTTTCATACGGGTATCAAGAAACCACTTTAACTTTTGGATCCAAAAATTTAGCTGCATTTTCCATTTAAAATGCTGTTGAAGGCTTTCGGAGACTGAGGCAGGCGGATCACGAGGTCAGGAGTTCAAGACCATCCTGGCCAACATGGTAAAACCCTATCTCTACTAAAAATACAAAAATTACCTGGGCGTGGTGGCAGGTGCCTGTCATCCCAGCTACTTGGGAGGCTGAGGCAGGAGAATTGTTTGAACCTGGGAAGCAGAAGGTGCCGTGAGCCGAGATCACGCCGCTACACTACAGCCTGATGGATGAGAACGAGACTGAGAAAAGAAAAGAAAATGCTGTTGAAATCTCCCAAATTTAGATTTCCAGCCAGATAGGGGACACTCAGCCAATGGGAGGCTGATTTATTTGGGCCTGGTGTGGCCATTGGTACAGGTGGCCTTGTAGCACCTTCTGGAGCCTTCCATGCTTGGGTCTTGGAATGGCTGGTGGAGGAAGCTGGAGAATCACCCGCAGGTCAGGGGAAAGTTGGGGAGCAGGTGCCTTGGAGTGACACAGGTAGCTGCCACCCAACAGGTGTGCCCAGTGTGTGCAGGGAGGGCAGATAAGGGGCGTGGCTTCCCCGTGGCAGGACAGTTTCCGTCTAGCTGCCCCCAGGGTGGGATTTAACCAAGGCCATTCCCCAGGTCATGAGTACTCACTGCCCTGCTGTGAGTTCTGGAGCTTCAGGCGGGAAGCGGCAGATTCCTGAGCCTGGGGCACGCGGCTCTCATCACAGAGCATCTCAGTCTGTGTCTGCCGGGGACCCTCCCCTGATGCCCGGGCCAGGCGGCTCTGGTGCGCATCTGAGGGACCCCAGGGAAGGTGCCTCTGTGTGGGGCGCCCTCTCTTTTCCACATCAGTTCCAAAACCAGCTGGGCTTTGGCATCTGAAATTCTAAGAATGCTTTCTTAGTATTTCTTCCAGGCTGTGGTACATTTGGAAAAAAAACATTTAAATGGTTGGCCCTGGCCCCTGCATCATGCTATTTATATGAAAAATATACCCGGTATCTTGCGAACTGCTGTTCTCTGATGAGCTCTCCTGGGGCCAGCTGTGATGCAGGCCAGGCTTCCGAGCCAGGCAGGGGCTGGGCCTCCTGTCTTTTGGAAACGTGGGAATCGTATAGGGAGGCGTGCTGACCCTAAGGATGATGATGTCAAGGCCAGCAGGGGTTTCAGCACGTGAGAGCTGGAATTTGTTTTAGATATTCGCCTTTTTGTTTCACTAAAAGGTTCTATTACAGTTTTAAACTGTCATCATTTGAAGGCTTGCCTGTGGCCTGCAGCCGGGGTGAGGAAGTCAGAACCCGGAGTGTGTCGGGGTGACCACAGGCTGAGCACACAGAGGGAGCCCCGGGACCCCAGCCCTGGTCCGACTGTGACCTCTGGCCTCTGGTCAGTTTGGCTCTGTTTGGACCTCAGATTCTCTAGTTGCAAGAGGAACTTGGACCAGCTCAGTGGCTTGAAACATTTTGAGAGTAATAGAACCCTTTATTCCAACCACATCTGAAGTGGAAGAAGAAACAGAAATGTGGGGTTGAAGTGTGTGGGGTGGGGGTGCCCAGTGCCCTGGTACCTTCTAATTCCTTCCTGCACGGGGCTCCGTTTCCGGGAGAGGGGAGTTCACAGCATCCCCCTTCTTTCCTTCTTTTCTGCTTGGTCTTGGAGCACGGGGACACTTCCGCCTAGAAATCCTTGAGGGCTGCCTCACGGCCGGTGCCTGGAGTTCCTGCAGGACTGCCCCTTCCTGCAGAGGGGCTGGGCCAAGAGCTGCGTCAACGCCATCAAGGTATGTGGGGACGGAGCGTGAGTACAGGCCACGTGGCTGCGCCCCAAGGCCTGGCTGGGCCCTTCAGCGCCATGCAGGGTGGCAGGTGGGGCAGGAGTGAGACCTCCAGCAGTGGGCAGTGTGTCCTGGTCCCATAGGCCCTCTCCTTTCCTCAGCTGCCTCACCTGACCCAGTCAAGCCGGGGGAGCTTCCCCTATGGCCCAGAAGGGCCTCAGAGAGGGACCCTGGGTCCCTGAGGCATCCTGAGACCTTCCCTCTAGTGCATGGGTCCAGGAACAAAGGTGGGAATGTACCGTGAGAGCTGCGCGGTTCTCTGTGACTGATCTGATACGAGAGGCCACCTTTGGTTCTCTGGAGCTGGGGATACCTGGTTACCAAGGGATCCCCCAGGGCCGTATGGGCTGGAAAACCACAGTGGACTCAGCTGCTCTGAGAAGGGTGGACCAGCCCACCCTGCCCCCAGCCTACCCAGCAAAGCTGACCCCTGAACTGGACCTCTCTGCAAAGCCCCACCGGATGGCCTCTCGGGGGAAACGGACTTCGGGACGGCTCACTTCTTGTGGACAAAGAGTAGCTGGGGGGATTTTGCCCAGGCCCAGAGGGGTTTGTCTATCCCACACTTGGGTTACCTCAAGGAAACCAAGGGCAGCCTGCGTGCCCCTCCAGGCCTCCCTCGCACTCCCCTGTGCAAAGCCCAACCCTCCGAGCACCTCCAAGCCGGCCATCTATTCTTATCTATTCTTACCGTCCAGCCCACAGCTCTCGGGCAGGTAGCTGTTCTCCCCCCATTCTACAGCGGGCGAGCCGAGACTCAGAAGCTGGCTCCCCGGCCGCCCCACGGGAGTGGCACAGCTGAGACTGCAGCCAAGTCTGTGTCTGTCCCTGTTCCAGCGCTGGCCACTTTCCCAGGCTTCAGTCCCCTCCTGTGAGGCCAAGAGCCCCTCACACAAGTTCCAGCTGCCTGTGCATGGTTCTGTCTCCTGACAAAGCAGTTGAGGAACAATTTGCCTTCTATACTTCAGAGGGTCAGGACCAGGGAGCTTCGGAGGGGAGGCAGGGGCAGAGGGCCTGCAGGGAGCCTCGGAGGGGATGTGGGGACAGAGGGCCTGCAGGGAGCCTCAGAGGAGATGCGGGGACAGAGGGCCTGCAGGGAGCCTCCGAGGGGATGTGGGGGCAGAGGGCCTGCAGGGGGCTTCAGAGGGGATGCGGGGGGCAGAGGGCCTGCAAGGGGCTTCGGAGGGGATGCGGGGGGCAGAGGGCCTGCAGGGAGCTTT